GTGTGTGTGTCTGTGTCTGTGTCTGTGTATGTGGGTGTCTGTGTGTGTGATTGATGGTTGTATGTTGTGTGTGTGCGTGTGTGTGTGTGTGTGTTGGTCCGGCCAGCGCGACGGGGGAAACGCAGGCTCCCGAGCAGGGCTTGGGCACCAGGGCCGCGATCGGCGATGAGCGGGCGATTTGGGGGTGGATGCTCCCCCCTCGTCGGGGAGACGCAAGACTCGGGTTCGGGGGACTCGGGGTGGCCTGACGGGGCCGTAAGGACGCGAGCTCCCTCTGCACACATCCCACGAAGACGGGACCGTCAAATTCAAGACGGGGTCGTCCGACAGAGTCGGCCAAACCCGAGTTCTGGTGAACGGAGTCTTGCGCTTCCCCATCCTTGGCTCATCCCCCCTGTCGGTGCCCCTGGTCTTCCGCTCCCCTCGGGGCGATTGCGGCAGCCGTTCGGGACGAATTCAGCACCCCAGAACACCCTCGACGAGGCGCAGCTGATGGAAGTCACTCTGGATTGGAAACTTTCGAGAACCCCTTGTCGTCTCCCCCGAAGAAGACGCGGACTAGCCCTGCTCATCGAAAACCCGGCTCAACCTGTGTAGGAAAAATTGCACTGCAATAAATTTTGGGGTTCCCCATATGCCTGCGCTGCACTAATGTTTTGGAGCTTCCCTGAACCAATTCAACCATGCGAGGCCAATTCTAGCACCGCGAACAAATCCAAAGCTCGGCTCAACCAACATACGGCTTCTTTAGTGGGAACCGACCGTCCCAACATCCCGATAGGCCTGCTTCGAAGGGTTCTTGGAACAAAAGAGGGTTGTAAGCATGTTCTTGGAGAACGACACACCGACCAATCAAAGGACGGCAGTCTCAGCCAAACACAGTTCCACAACAGATTTGCACAACGCATCGCACAACATTATATTTGGACGCCCGAGTTACCCCTGATGATTCGGGGCCCTAGACGCCCGAAATATCCAGGGTAACTCGGGCCCGGGGCAACTCGGGTTCGGATTCCCGAAAATTGAACCCGAGTTAGCCCTGACCCGAGTTACCCCTGATGATTCGGGGCTCTGATTATACGGTGGTTCTGTAGGCAAGCCAGGACGCTTCGCCGCTGCTTGAGCTGCGCAGGATCCTGCAACACCCGCCGCTCCGGCCGAGCCCTGCCTGCGCCGAGCCCCGCTGCCTGCCCGCTGACCGAGGCCCCCTCGCGATCGTCGCCGGGGGCGGGTCGGGCCGATCGCCATCGCCGCCTTCGTCGTCGACGACGTGGTCGTCATCGTCGACGTCTTCGTCGTCGACGGCGTGGTCGTCGTCGTCGTCGGGGGCAGGCAAGGCCGATCTCTCGCGCCTCGACTGCTTCTCCTCCCTGGGCCCGCCGGCCTCTCTGGCCTCCTGCCTGCGGCCTGCCAGGCTCCTCGCCGCCTCGCGCTCTTCCTGGGGGGGGACCGCCTCCTCCTCCTCCTCCTCCTCCTCCTCCTCCTCCTCCTCCTACTCGCCTCCTCCTCCTCCTCCTGCTTCTCCTCCTCCTCCTCCTCCTCCGCCTTTCCTCTCCTCCTCCTCCTCCTCCTCCTCCTCCTCCTCCTCCTCCTCCTCCTCCCACCTCCCCCTCCTCCTAACTGCTCCTTCTTTTTGGTCCAGCGGCATGACTTCTGACGACGTCCTTTCTGTCGTGTCTGGGACAGCGGACAGCCTTCTGTCGTGTCTTTGCTCGCGACGCGAGGAGGTCTGGGTCTCCTCCTCCTCCTCCTCCTCCTCCTCCTCCCTCCCCCCTCCCCCTCCCCTCCCCCTCCCCCTCCTCCTCTCCTCCTCCTCCTCCTCCTCCTCCTCCTCCTCCTCCTCCTCCTCCTCCTCCTCCCCTCCTCCTCCTCCCCCTCCCTCCCGTCCCCGTCCCCGTCCCGTCCCGTCCCGTCCCCGTCCCCCTCCCCCCCCTCCCTCCTCCTCCCTCTCCTCCTCCCTCCCTCCTCCTCCTCCTCCTCCTCCTCCTCCTCCTCCTCCTCCTCTCCTCCCTCCTCCCTCCTCCTCCTCCTCCTCCTCCTCCTCCTCCTCCTCCTCCTCCTCCTCCCCCGTCCGTCCCCGTCCCCGTCCCCGTCCCCCGTCCCCCGTCCCCCGTCCCCCGTCCCCCGTCCCCCTCCCCCGTCCCCCTCCCCCCTCTCCTCCTCCTCCTCCTCCTCCTCCTCCTCCTCCTCCTCCTCCTCCTCCTCTCCTCCTCCTCCTCCTCCCCCTCCTCCTCCTCCTCCTCCTCCTCCTCCTCTCCTCCTCCCCCTCCTCCTCCCTCCTCCTCCTCCTCCTCCTCCTCCTCCTCCTCCTCCTCCTCCTCGTCCTCGTACTCGTCCTCGTCCTCGTCCTCGTCCTCGTCCTCGCCCTCGTCCTCGTCATCCTCCTCCTTCTCCTCCTCCTCCTCATCATCATCATCATCATCATCCCTTTCCTCGGCCCCCCAATACTCTTTCCTGGAAGGCGACGCGGCGCCCTTCGGCCGCGAGAGCGCCCCGGCATATGAGTCCGCGGGCGTCCTGGCTCACCCCGGGGGGGAGCTCGAGCCGGGCCTTCAGCGCGCGGCTGTACACCTTGATGATGTTCGGCGGCGCGCCCCCGGGGGGAAGGGGCAGGCTTAGGTCGGGCATGTCCTCCTACCTGCGGATGTTGGAAGAAAATGCAAAATTGGTAAAACAAATATTGAAAACAACTCAAACAAGTCAAACATGATAGATACAATCGTCCCCAGACCATTGTTAGACTAGTTTTGGATATTTCTCCTATAGAGGGACATGCCTGACTCGAGGAGTCGGAGTAGATAGGGTCGGAGGAGTAGATAGGGTCGGAGGATCGCGCCGCATCGCCGATACATCGGGGATGCATCGGCGATGTATTGGCGATGCACAAGCGATGCATCGTCGGGGTCGGCGATGCATCGGCGACGTCGACGTGAAGCGCATCGGGCTCCGCATCAAGCCGCATCGCCGATGCATCAGCGATGCGGAGCGATCCTCGGACCCCATCTACACCCCGCGAAATGCTTAAGAATTCATGGGTTAAGAAATTCATAGTCTCAGAACTTGGATACAAAACCCAAACATTTCTATTAAATCTTAAGATTTACATTGAAACGTTAAGAATAGTCGAGACTCTGGCCGAAAACTTAAGTTTTCTTAAGCATCGCCTAAGGTGTACTCCGAGCCCGTCTGGGAGGCCTGGACCGACTGAAGGGAAGGCAGGCTCGCAGCTCCGACGGCATGACTGCTCCTCTGCCTGGGCGGCACTCGCCGATCTCGGCCCCCCTCCTCCTCCTCCTCCTCCTCCTCCTCCTCCCGCCTCCTCCTCCTCCTCCTCCTCCTCCTCCTCCTCCTCCCGCCTCCTCCTCCTCCTCCTCCTCCTCCTCCTCCCGCCTCCTCCTCTTCCTCCTCCTCCTCCCGCCTCCTCCCGCCTCCTGGGGGCTGGCCAGTGGGCCCAGGGGGCCCTCAGACATGGATCTGGCGAACGACTACAGCCAAGCTGCTGCAACAAGGAGCGCTAGATTCAGGTCGGGCATGTCCTCCTTCAGGCGGATGTTGAGCGACAAATTTTAAACATCGTAAACAGTACCCCCCCAAAAATGCCAACACATGCTCAAAAAAACGTCCCCAGACTATTCCTTTACTCTTTTGGAATATTCCTCCTCTAGAGGGACAAGCCCGAATGAACGCCAAATGGTTTGGACGCCCGAAGTGGGTACGGAAAAAATGGGCACCATGCCAAACAACAAATGTTGTCCCGAACCAACAGCGGCCGCTGTTGGGCCGGCGGCCTTCTGTCTCGAATGGACACAGGCCGCGCGGCGGCGTGGACGGCGAGCCCTGTTCAAGATGAACAGGCACTGCAGTTGGGCACTGTGCCCATTCTTTCCGTACCCATTTCGCTCGTGCCGAGATGGGGAGCGAAACCCCCCTTTGGCGCCAACAGGGCCACGGAAGGACCCGAGGACTCGCCATCGCTCGGACGTCCATTCCCTGTGCGTTTTTCGGTTTCGTGCGTGTTTTTTTCGCCAAATGATCAGGGATGCTCCTCGATGGTCCTCGCCGAAGGAAAAAAGCACACGTCCGAGCGATGCCAAGAGGAACCGCGGGCCCCCCTGCGAGCCCAAAAAGCGGCCCTCGTGCCAGCGCCTGGCTTCCTGCACGGCCAGGGGGGAGGGGCCTCGGCGGCGACGACAGGGGCGAATAGCTCTTTGGACGCCCGAAACGGGTGCGGAAAAAATGGGTACAGGGCCCAACAAAAAATGGCGGCGACGATAAGGGCAAAGATAGGGGCACGAAACGTGACCTAAGCATAAAACCTCGGAGCTCCGCGCGGACTTCTCGGATCCGCGCTGGACCCCCCTGCCTGGCGCGCGGAGCGCGCCAGGGGCGGCGCCGGAGGCGCCGCCGGGGGGCCCCAGCGCCGATCCGAGAAATCCGCGTGGACCTCCGAGTTTTTATGTTCATGCCACTTGTTGTTCCCCTAACGTCCAGGGGGGAGGGGTCTCGGCGGCGGCGATAGGGGCGAACAGCTCAGGGGCGGGCATTGCACGTATTCGCCCAGGAGCCTCTTCGAAGGCATGGATCCTCGGCGCACCCGAAAACGTGTATTGCTCTTCCCTGGGCGATTCGCCCCGATCGTCGCCTCGGAGGGTCGGGAACTCTGGGGCCGCGCGCTGGGAGCGCACGCCGGCGGAGGAGAGACCTGGGAGGACCCCCGCACAGTCGGAGGAGCCGCCCGTGGAGGCTGTGGGAAGGCTTCTCAGAAGGCGGGACCCCCAGACATCAGATTCATTTAAACAAGGTACTTGTATGTGTTTATGCATGTATCAAGCAAACAAACAAACCAACAAACAAACAAGCAAACACACACACACACTAACAGACATACACACAAACACGCAAGTAAACAAGCAAAAAAACAAGCAAACAAACAAGCAAACAAACAAACACACAAACAAACAAACAGGAGACCACAGCCCCAGAGGTCCGACCCCTCCCTGTTGGGGGGTGTATTTGCTTTTCGCCCCGGATCAATTTTCGATGGCCCGGTGCCCACCAAGGGGCCGACATCGAGGAAAAGCGCTCGGACTCCACAAATCATCTCGACTGAGAGCTGGGGAAGCTGTTGAGAGGCCCCGCCGCCGCCGTCTTCTGAGAATGCCGCCGCCCTCTGCCTTCCGCTCCCCCTGGCGCGCCGCCAGGATGTTGGTGCCAAACGGGGGGAGCCCCGTCACCACCTGCGAGAGTGGGGGAAAGTGAGAGAGAGAGAGAGAGAAAGAGAAGGATACACACACCTATATATGATTATATATAGGTGTGTGTGTGTGTGCATCGATATGTACATAGATGAGCTATCACCACGCGCTTCGCAGTACACAAACATATACAATCAACTCGGATTCGCTGTACTCACAAATGCAGAAAGGAACGCAGACATAATGCACCGGCACTAAAGGAAAGGCGCAACATTGGATGTGGAGAGCCTCCTGGAACCGCCTTGTACCGTCTGGGAGCCCTGCTGGGCCATCTTGAACACCCCTCTGCACCCAAGAATCGGGTAGGGGATCGACTACAGAGTTAATTCACCCCAAACTTGCTTTGTCCGCCAAATCTATGGTAAATGCTTCGGGCTCCCCGTAGATTTACCGAGCATGCTGAGCATTTTCCTTAGGTCCCATGGAAGAATATAATTCTGGGGTAAAGCAATTCTGTAGTCGATCTCCGATTCTTCGGTGGCAACTCATGGGAGCCTCCAATACCATCTTATCGGCTCTTGCTAATCGACGCTGGTCGACGCTAAATCGACGCTACTCGACGGTAAATCTGCGCCATCTCATCCACTCCCAGACGCTAGCCGACGCACATCGACGCTGAAGACCGAGTCAAGAGGGCACACGATGCTCCCATGACTTGCCACCGAGCTACTCGAAAAAAACAATGTATGAATAGGGGAACGAAGAATGACATAAACATAAAAACTCGGAGGTCCGCATGTCATTCTCCGTTCCCCTAATGAAACCCATCGGGAGGAGGGGAGGGCGAGGAGGGGGGGAGGAGGGGGAGGAGAGGAGGAGGAGGAGGAGGAGGAGGAGGAGGAGGAGGAGGAGGAGGAGGAAGAGGAGGGGGAGGAGGAGAAGGACGAGGAGGAGGAGGAGGAGGAGGAGAACGGGTCGCCTAAGCCCTTCGGAGCAACCCTCCAATCGGGGGTGAGAGCACACATTCTCCCCGACAGCCCGCCGCGACCAAACTTTGTCGTGCACCAGCCGCGGCCGCTCTCGGCGGAGAGCGACCCTCATTGGGCGCGGCCCGGGGCCCCTCGCGGCCTCTCGGTCGCCGCCCGCGCCGGAGATGCGGTCGGCCGCGCGCCGAGAGGCCTTGCCCCAAGTGCGTGCCCCTTCCCGCCCCTCCCCGCTTTCACCACCAGCATATGAGTCATCGTCATCCTCGCCGTCGTCCCCATCACCACCACCACCACCACCACCATCATCATCATCATCATCATCATCATCATCATCATCATCATCATCATCATCATCATCATCATCATCGTTGTCATCACCATCACCATCACCATCACCATCACCATCACCATCACCATCACCATCACCATCACCATCACCATCACCATCATCATCATCATCATCATCACAATCAACAACACTGTCACCATTACCACTGCCATCATGTCCACCACCATCAACACCCTTACTACCGTCACAAGCATCGTCACCGCCATCGTCTTCCATGATCGCCATCTCCATGATCACCACAACGAACATGCATATGAATTGACAAGAAGAGTGGGTAAGGCGGGTGATGAGGACGTTGCCGTGATGATAGTGTGAATGATGATGGCGCCGTTGTGAAGTAAATGACGGCAATGGTGATGACGATGGCGATGAATACGATGATGGTCACGAGAGTGGCAATGATAATGGCGGTTGCGATGAAGACAACGATCGTGATAATTAGGTCTGGGCAGAAGAGCCCTCGAGTGACAGCGTGCGTTTCAGCACGAAAAGAACCCATCAACTGAAAAAGGGTGAAGCACCCTCAATGTGCACTGCTAGCCCTGCACCCGCGTCCTCGCCCGCCCCCATAACGCCGCTTCCCCTCCCCCATCCCGCCCCTTCCCCCGCTTCCTTTCACAGCCTGGGCCCTGCACTGGCCCAACTGGGGCCGCTCCCCTGGCAAATCTGGCTATCTGCAAACTGGGCAAACCTCGCACTCTTGAAATTCTGGGGTGTCTCGAGCCAGTCTGGCCCACAAGCTGTCTCGAGCTGATATTGCCCTTGGGCTGTCTCGAGCCAGTCTGGGGGTCTCACTGAGCCGTCATTGTCCTCAGAAGCTCCTGAAAACAATAACGCGAAAAACTTGAGTGTTTTACTGGAGAAGTCAACGCTTGATGAACGACTGTAGCATTTGTCGATGGAAACCCTCTTCGGGGTCCTTCGGGAGCCAACGGGGCATCATGGGCTGCCTGGAGGTGTCTGGGGCGCA